GTCTGAGCAGTGCCCAGCAAAGCTCAGCCAGGTCTAAAGGCTTCACAAGGAACAGCACGGTTCAGCACAGTTCGCCAAGGCTGAGCAAGGCTCAACAAGGCTGCACGGGGCTTAGCAAGGCTTCCCAAGCTTAGTTGGGCTTAGCAAGGCTGACCATTCTGTGGACGGCGTAGCAGTCCAGGGCATAACGACGATTACCAGGGCTCAGCAGGACGTACCAAGACTTGGCAGGGCTTTACGAAACTTGCCAAGGCCTAGCAGGGGGTGGCAGGCCTCAGTCGGGTTTAGCAGGGTTTACCAAGAATCAGCTACCAAGACTTAGCACAGCTTGACAAGTCTCAACAAGGCTCGGCAGAGCTCAGCCGAGCTGAAGGCTTCGCAAGGGCTAGCAGGGCTGAGCAAAGCTTCCCGAGGTTGAGCAAGGCACAGAAAGGAACAACAGGGCTCAACAGAGTTTGCCAAGGCTGGGTAAGGCTCAGCAAGCTTAGCAGGGCTATGCAAGGCTTACCTGTCTTGGGCAGGGCTTAGTAAGGCTCCGTAAAGCTTAGGAGTCTTCAGTCGTCTTTACAAGGACTGAGCAGAGCACGACAAGGCTTATCCAATATTACGGGCTCACAAGGGCCGACCAAGGCTTAGCAAAGCATACCAAGGCTGACCTTTCGAAGGCTGTGCGGATGCACACCCTCACCACCAAGATACCTCCCACAGGAAAACGGAACATCTAAACACTGTCCCCCCGAGCATGGCCCTCTAAATTCCGCGCCCACGCCTGCTGGCAATGAGCTGGCGTTTCGGGGATCACGTTGGGGGGAGAGCATGTTTCGGTCGATCGGCAGTTCTCCAAAACTTCGCAGGTCGCGAAGGCATCGTCCACAAAAACCCTCATCTGCGTAACGATGCTGGCGACGAGGATGAGGAGAGTGAGGAGGAAGAGGATTAGGAGACCATGAAGCGCAACAGCCTGCACGTCTTGCGTAGCAGACCGCATACTCCACAATCCCCTGGCCTCTCACGGGAGGCCAGGGGATTTTGGAGTATGCGGTCTGCTTCACGAGACGTGCAGGCTGTTGCGCCTCATGGTCTCCTAATCCTCTTCCTCCTCCTCATTCTCCTCATCCTCTTCGCCAGCATCGTTACGCAGATGAGAATTGTTGTGGACGATGCTGGGAGAACTGCCAATCGACCGAAAAATGCTCTCCCCCCCGAGCATGGTCCTCGAAATTCCAGCTCGTTGCCAGCAGGCGTGGGCGTGGAATTTAGAGGGCCATGCTCGGGGGGCATTGTTTGAATATTCAGCTTTCCTGAGGGAGGTATCTTGGTGGTGAGGGTGTGCCCTGATATGCTTTGCTAAGCCTTGCTAAACCTTGGTAAACCCTTGTGAGCCCCTAAGCTTGGATAAGCCTTGCCGTGCTCTGCTCAGTCCTTGTAAAGACGACTGAAGACTTCTAAGCTTTACGGAGCCTTACTAAGCCCTGTTCAAGACAGATAAGCCTTGCTTAGCCCTGCTACGCTTGCCGAGCCTTACCCAGCCCTGGCAAGCGTTGTTACGCCCTGTTATTGTTTGCTGAGCCTTGCTCAACCTTGGGAAGTTTTGCTCAGCCTTGCTAGCCCTTGCGAAGCCTTCGGCCCTGCTGAGCTCTGCTGAGCCCTGCTAAGAACCCGTAACCCTTTGCAAAAATTGCTAAGTGTTGGTCAGCCCTGCTCAGCCCTGGTAGGCCTTGTGAAACCCCACTGAGGCCTGCCGGCCACCATTGCTAAGCCCTGGCAAGTTTCGTAAAGCATTGCATAGTCCTGGTAGGCTTTGCTATGCCTTGCTACGCTCTGCTGATGTTTGCTAAGCTTGGTAAGCCTTGCGAGTTTCGCTAAGTGTGGCAAGCCTTGCTAAGCCCCGCTCAGCCTTGCTGAGCCCTGTTCAGCCTTGGCAAGCTTTGCGAAACCCTGCTGCTTCTTGCGAAGCCTTAAGCCATGATGTGCTTTGCTGAGCCGTGCTCAGACTTGGTCAGCCTTGTTAAGCCCCACTGAGCCTGCTAAGTCCTGCTAAGACATATCAAGCTGTGCAATGTCCTGTTAAGTACTGGTACGCCCTGCTGAGCACTGCTAGCCGTTGCTAAGCCCTAGCGAGCTGTGCAAAGCCCTGCAATCATCTTGTCAGCCCTGCTGAACCCTGGCAAGTGTTGCTCAGCTCTGCGAGGCTCGGCGAAGCCTTGCGAAGCCCTGGTGGACATTGGTAAGCCCCTAAGCTTGGATAAGCCGTGCCACGTTTTGCTCAGACCTGATATGCTCTGCTACGTCCTGCTCAGCTTCAGTAAGCCTTGGTAAGCCTTGCTGGGCCCTGCTAAGTCCGGCTAACTCTTGGTAAGCCTTGCTATGGACTGGTAAGCTCTGCTTAGCCCTGCTGAGCCTGGCTAAGCCGTGCCCGGCCTTGGCAAACTTGTGGGCCTCGTGGGGCGCCCCCCCCGAGGCCCGCACAAGGCCCCCCACGAGGCCCCTGGGTGTCGCTGCGTCCAGCTCTGTCGGCCAGCAAGATGACACCACGCGCCGACGGGCGGCAGGGTCCACACTGAAGAAGAAGAAGAAGAACAAACACAAAAAAAAGAAGAAGAAGAAGAAGAAGAAGAAGAAGAAGAAGAAGGATGAGGAGGAGGAGAGAAGGGTAAGGAGGAGGAGGGGGAGGGGGAGAGGGGCAGCAACTGCAGCAGTCAAGCAGGGAGCAAGCAGGGAAGGTCGGCATCAACGGCAGCAAACGGCAGCCCCTGATTGGCTTCTGGGGGGGCGCCAGAAGACCTCTAACATCCCAGGAGCACCTGGGAGGTCCCTGGGGTGCCAGGAGGGTCTCAGGAGAAGCCCGAGGCCCCGAGGCGGCCTCGGAGACAGCGGGTGGGCATGCCGCTGCTTTTGCTGGAGCGCTCTTCGGAGGGGGACGAGGAGGGCTATGCTGGATTCCGTCAACTTGGTGCGCCGCGCTCGATCAACTCTGAACGGCCCCTGCAAATAACTCGGTGCTGGCCCACCGAACATTTTCTGACCCCGCTTGGGAGGCCCGAGTGCGATGCCTGCTGGAACGCGATGGCCATCTGGTTCCGAAGAGAACAGCGCGTCCGTGTGACCCCGCCGGGGAGGCTCGGACGAGACACATATTCGTGCCCCCCAGGGCGTCATTCTATCCCATATGCCCCACAGATTTGGACGCGGAGGGGCCCGTGCAAACATCCCCGTGCCCCCCTTGGGAGGCCCGCAGGTGCGGTGGCAGCGCGGTGGCGGCGCGCTAAGGATAGCAGCGTCCACGCCCCCAGATGTGTAGCCAGCCCGAAAGTGTCAATCGACTTGTTATGTTCCGACGTTACTAAACATGAAGCTGTGTATCTTCGCACGCATACCTGATAAAAAAGTTTGGCCCGGCAGAAAACGGAACGGCGTTCCAAAGTTGGTCCGTCTTGAAAAAAAAACACTGTTCAACTGCGACCGCCTTCGGCGGCTGATCGCTTGTCAGAGGAATTGAATGTGTGACCGACTGCGAATGCCACGTGCTGCAAAAAGAAACTGAAGCTGCGGGCCGTAAGGCGGGGCCCGCTCCCTCACATTATCGGGCAAGTCAACCAGCCTGGGCGCGGGCGGGTCCGTGAAATACCACGGGGCGGCTTCTCCTTGGGTGGCCCGAGCGGGATGCCTGGTAGCACGCGGTGATATCGAGGTTATGAAGTGGTACGCGCCCCCCCCTCCCCCCCAAACGAAAAAACAATATGGGCGTTCTACCTGAGACGTCCTGACACTTTGGGCGCGGCTGGGCCCGTGAAGTGCTCACTGCTGGGATCTCTCTCGGGAGGCCCGCGTGCGATGCGTGCCAGCACTCGGTGGCCATGAGGCCGTGAAGGGAGCCCCCACTTGACTACAGCACAGTATAGTCAACACCGGCCCCTGGCCCCCTCTCGGGCTCCACCATGGCCCATTTCTCGAGCTCCGTCCAGCCGTGGCGACGAGAACCCCTGGCGACGCCCACAAAACTCCGAAACGAAGACGACCTTGGCCTCGTCGTCCGAAGCGGCGGGCCTCCATCAAGCCCCGGACGGCGGACACGTCACCGGCCCTCGCCATGTTGCGGAGGATGCACGCGAGGCTCGGGCGCAGCTCGTGGAAGCGGTCGGGCCGTGTGATGCTGCGGCCTGCCGCGGCGGAGGGCTGCGAAGGGAGGCGCGCGGAGTGCTGCCCTCTGGCCCTGGCCCCCGGGGGTCGCAGAGCGAAGCCGTCTGGACGCGTTTTGTGTGTGTGTGTGTGTGTGTGTGTGTGTGTGTGTGTGTGTGTGTGTGTGTGTGTGTGTGTGTGTGTGTGTGTGTGTGTGTGTGTGTGTGTGTGTGTGTGTGTGTGTGTGTGTGTGGGGGCCTACGTCGAGTGTCCGGCCATCCTCCTCGAGCCTGCAGAGGCCTCCAGAAGGCCTCGTGGGGCTTCTCGTCGGGGAGGGCTCTGCGCCGTGTGCCCGGCCCTTCCTACACGGAGGTGTGGCCCCGGGCGAGAGTGACATCTGGTGCGCAGCTCTAGAGAAGGCCGCAGAGGAGCCGAATCTAGGTACGCAAGATTGAGTTGGGGGCACCCCTCCAGGCCAGCACCAAAGGTCACTCTTGCTAAGGGCCGCTCTGACGCGTAGCCGATCTCGGGCCTCCAGAGGCCTCCGGATGGCCTCCCGGGGCTCCCGGGTATGGGGCGGCACGGGGACTTGCCAGCGAGGCGGCAGCCCGGCAGCCGCCCTGCAGTGACGGGGTGGCCGCCTCGACCCCCGTGCCGGGTCCGATCCTGGCCAGGCCAATGTTGGCAGTGTCCGTGCACGAGCCCTTCCCGCCTTGCCAGGGGCGAGGAGGAGATTGACTGTGTGGCCATGTCGACGGCGGCAGCAGATGATGATGATGATGAGGAGGAGGAGGAAGGAGGAGGAGGAGGAAGGAGGAGGAGGAGAAGGAGGAGAAGGAAGAGAAGCAGCAGCATGCATGAGAGAAGGAGGGACACGACATGGGAGAAGACGCGCCGACGGACGAGCACACAGTGAAAAAACAAGCACCCTCCGCCGCGGGTGATATGCGTGTCTCGGGGCGGCCAGACGCTTGTTTTGCTGGCGCGCCGACGTCCTAACCAAGACGTCGGGTGCTCTGATCGCGCTGCAGCGCATGGTGTGCACCGAGCAGAAGCAGCAGAGGACCCAGGCAGACTGGACGATCGGGCTGCTCATGGAACCTCTGCGATGGGAGCGCCGCGGAGCCTGCGGCGCCCCTCGGCGGCAGGGGCGAGGGCGCAGGCTTCTCACTGAGCCGTGGCGGTGGCCGCGCCGTAGCTCTCCACGTCGCCCTTCGCGCCCCCCAGGATGGGCCCCGCGGTGAGAACGTCGAACGCCCCGAGGTCTTTCTCACCCTCCTCCTTGAGGCCGCGGATGGACAGCCCCGCCCAGGTCAGCAGCACGAAGCAGGTGACGAACACGGAGGTCATCGTGATGTTCCCGAGCAGGACGCCCAGCACGATCGCGTTCATGGGCACGCGGTAGATGTTGTAGACGGTGCTGCGGATGCTCTCCGGCACGGCCTGGCCCTTGATGGTGGAGACGGACGGGAAGTAGAGCCCGCAGCAGAACTCGAAGAGAATGAAGCCCGAGTAGATCAGACCCATGGTCGTCACGCTCAGGCTGACCATAAACGCGATGCCGGCGACGAGGAACGCAGCGGCTCCGAGGAAGAACGCCAACTGCGCCAGCTGGATGGCCGACGCGCCCCTGCCCCGGAGGATGTCGAAGGTGGACGAGCCGCACATGTACGCCATCATGAAGCTCGCAAAGACCATGCCAAAGGCAGGCGTGGACAGCTTGTTGCTCAGCGCCGGGGTCCAGTTGAAGACGAATGTGTACATGGACCCCTCAAAGCACGCCACCATCCCCATGATGATCATCAACTTCTTGCTGCTGGCGATGGCCTGGGCGCCGTCCATCACCTGCTTGGCAAGGCCCTCCTGCTCGCTGCCGGGCTGCGAGGCCTCCGAGGTGCCGTAGTTCTCCTCCCATAGGAAGCTGATGAGAAGCAGGCCGACCACCAGCAAGAGTATGGCAAGGTCGAAGGGCGAGCAGAAGCCCCCCACGTGGAAGGCAGTCTCGCCGAGCTTTGTGAGGCCGCCGAACCCCACGGTGACGTCGCCCAGGATCCCCGCGATGATGGCCACCAGGGAGTTGCCGAACCACATGAGGGCAAAGATGTGCCCGAGTGCGTCCTTGTCGAGCCTTCGCTTCTCGCACGCCTCCGACACGAGCCAGCTCTCGAACCCGGAGAACAGCAGGGAGGTGGCGATGCCGCCGGTGACGCGCCCGACCATGAGGACCCAGTAGTTGGCGAAGTGCTTGGTACAGCAAGACGCGATGTAGAGTACGCAGTAGAGCTGGCAGCCCCTCTTTCTCCCGATCTTGTCCGCGAAGGAGCCGACAAAAGTCCCGAAAAACATCGAGGAGCCGAAGCCGGCGACAAACAGCTGCGATATCTCGTGGCGGCTGAAGCCGTAGGCGTCGTAGAGCGCGTAGACGTAGGGCCCCTGCAACCAGTCGCCCGCGACGCACACGTACCAGACGGCGAGGTAGAGCCACTTCAGACGGCGCGCCTCGGCGCCCAGCGCCTTCTCGACCTTTGGCTGCGACGCCCACGCCAGCACGATCGTGATCAGCAGCAGGAAGTAGAAGAGGGTCGCGTACTGCACGCCCATCGGGTCCTCCTTGTTGAACTTGAACGGGTTGGTCGTCATTGCCTCTGGCGAGCCTGCGCTGGCGGCGGGAGGGAGGCAATCACGGTGAGGTTCTGTGTCCGGTATGGAGAAATCGGGCCTTAGACTCAGACCAGAGCCAGGAGCACTCGAGCCAGGACGGCGGAATACCAGGGCGGCTGGAAACTCGCCATGCGCGTGCCGCCCTGGGGGTAAAGAGATCGCAGCGACCCTGGGACAGGCGCCGCCCCAGGGGCTGGAGCGCCTCACCTCAAGCTATGGCCCCTCGTCCGGTGAGATGAGCAGGGCCACGACGGGAACGAGGAAGAGAACGACGGGGGATGGCGGAGGAGCCCCTGGAAGAGGGCGAGAGCGAGCACGAGGAGCCGGGGGCAGAGCCGGCTCGAGTGTCGCCGAGGGTGTCCCTGGCCCAGGAGGACCCCCGCTCTGGGCTCCATTGTGGAGCCACTGCGGCCCCGTGGGCCTCGGGAGGGGTGCTCTGGAGGCCGTGGGTGGGGAAACATACGAGGTGGTTGCCCATGCCGCTGCTCCACGGACCTCTCCTGGGGTGCGCTCTGACCAGGACGTCGAGCAGAATCCAGCCATGGAGACGAGGGAATTGTAGCGGTGTGGGTGCCTGTTCCTCCTCGGAGCGTGGGGGGGGGTTCGGAAAGGCATCGTGAGGGGCGCGCTGGAGGCCGTGGGGGCTCCCCGGAAATCCTGGGGGCACCTTGCGCCGGGGACACCCTCTGGGAATGTGGACGCCATGACAATGGACCCTCTACCAATCCTATCATTGAGTTGAAGATGTCTTTAAAATGTTCAAAAATATATTTAGAATGTTTAAACCATGCCTTTTAAACAAAAAACGTGGTTACGACATGCTTGAATCATGTTTTAAACATCTGGAAATTATTTGGCAGCACGCTTCCTCTCCATTGATCGACTTCCACAACTCTGGGGCAGCACCCGCCGCCAGGCGGAGGCGGCCCCGAGCATGCGCTTTTTGAATCGGTCCCTGGGCATCTCCAACGGTCCAATCTTCGAGCAGGGACTGGCCGTCCCTGCATTCCTATGGGCCCCACGAGATCTTCCTAGGAAACGAAAGCATTGTTCTGAGAACGTAAGGTCGACGTATTACAACAAGACGGTCTCAGCTAGAGATGCTCGAAGATAATCTCGTGCAAACCACAGAAAGGTTCTTATGCCATTGCTTGGTGGGCCGATAGGCGAGCTAAGACGCCTCGCCACCGCTTGAACCTGGGCCAGCTCTTCGAGCTGCGTCCAGCCGCGACGACGAGAGCCTCCAGAAACGCCCCAAACAACACCGAGACGAAGCCGTCGACGCCGCGCCGGCTCCGCCGCGATCTGTCCCTCGGCGTGCTAGCCACGGCGGGCGCGCGAGGACTTGCCGCCCTGCGCACGCGTGGGATCTGCCAGGCGCGCGCCCTGCGCTCACAGGACGCGCGTGAAGCTCAGCAGCGCCTCGTCTTCCGTCCTCCGGCCACCCGCAAGAACGACCCTGCTGCACGAGCGGCCTTCGGTGCGAAACTCTTCGGCGGGGGGCAGGGGGCGCGTAAGGGAGGGGGGGGGGGGGGGCACATCCGAGCGCGCAAGCCGCTGCTATCTCGTCGCGCCCAGCGACGGGGCGGCCCAACGGGCCTGCACCGTGGGCGGCGGCGGGGGAGCCTGAAGTGGACCGGCTCGCAGAAACTCGGTGAAGAACAGGGGACACCGGCAAATCCGCCCAACATCTCTCCCAGGACCCCTCCCGGGGTCCATGTGCTGCAGCGTTTCACTCCAGATCCGTTTTGTTGGCAGTCCCAGGGCTCGAAGACGCCCCCCCGAGACCGAAAAAGTAAAAGAGCCTCCTCGCATTCAGAATCTAGGATCTCGCCCACCCCTTCTTGCTGGCCAGAACCAATGCTGGGCCACCTCAGACCCCCAGCCAGTTCCAGCCCGCACCGAAGGTCGCTCCGGCGAAGGGTCGCCCTCACGTGCAGAGGAGTCCTCCGCTCGCCCGCAGCGCCCTCCAGAGCCCTTCGAGCGCGCAGCGCGGCCCACGCCGCCAGCTGCGCCACCAGTGGGGCCTTCACCCTGCCGAGCAAGCCCTCGCTCTCCTCCCCGCGGTCGTCGACCTGCAAGTTGGGGCCGTGGTTCACTTCGAGGACGAAAGGCCTCAGCTCCTGCACAAGAAGAGAACAACATAAATATTAACTATTGGAGGTCCGCGCGGGCTTCTCGGATCTGCGCTGAACCCCGTCCCTGGTTCGCGGAACGCGCCAGGTGCGGAGTCACAGGCGCCGTCAAATGGGCCCCAGCGACGATCCAGGACATCCGCGCGGAGCGCAAAACATTTACTCCCGAAACAGCGCTTGCACTTGTGAGTTGTCATATCTCTTCTGAAGAACAGGGCCTGGATGTCGGTTTGGCGGCTGTGATCTCGCCGTCGCTCCCCCGTCGCCGCCCGTCGTCTGGGCTTGAATGTCGGTTTGGCAGCTATGTCGTCGCCGTCACCGCCCATCGCCGCCTCGTCGCCGCCCGTCGTCTGGGCCTGGCGGTCGGTTTGGCGGCTGTGGTGGCCGTCGAGTCGCCGCCCCGTCGCCGCCCGTCGTCTGGGCCTAGCGCGATTCACCGATTCGAACTGATGTGGCCGCGCGTCAGCGCGGCATGCGAGACGCGCTGAAGTCCCCCGTGGTCAGCGCCACCGCGGCCGCGCCAGTCGCGCCAGACTAGCTGGCCGCTCTGCGCGCGCGCGCGCCTGCGCGCGTTAGCGTGGCCACAGCGATCCACCAGCCAGCGCCAATCAGCCATCGCAGTCGCCGCATGGGGATTTGCAAATTTGCGGGCGGGTGGGTGGGATGAGTGGGCGAACATGAAAGGTGGTCACGCGCGAACCCAAAATCAATTGCACAGCGTACAGCCACCGTTCTAGCAACAAATCAGAATCCCCCCAACTGTAACCCTCTCTCTGGGATGGTACAGCCTACATACGATTCAGCCCATTGTTCATTATAAGCATGGGGTCGTATCACCCCAGGGGGGGCCTTGATCGTCCCCATCATCCCTGCCAAACAATACTATGCGCGCGCACTCGTTTATCAAGAACGGCCAGCTTTCAGACATGTGTTTAAACAAGTTGCGCATGATGTCTGATAGCGTCCACACGCGCACGGCGTCGCCCGCGCATGCCGCGATTGTTATTAAACCTTGGATTCCGTGGGGATTTCCAGATCGAGTGCCCCGAGACGCCAACAACAAAAAACAACACAAGAAAACATGTGACCTTCTGAATTTTCGGCACATGCGACGCAACAATTTTCTTTCGCGCGCGCATGTCAGGATCATTCAGACGCCTTTTTTTGCGCGCTTGCTGAGGGGGGGGGGGGGACGACCCGCACGCTTGTCAAAAGCCCTGCAAAACCTTCATCGCCGACATGTGGACGACATCGTCGCTATCGGCGTGATCAACGTCGGCGCCGACATTGGCCTTGCCGTCGTCATCGTCATCGTCGCCACCAGCATCGCTACACTCATCATCGTCTCTGCTGTTGTCGATGTCGCCATGATATCGCGCCCGCCCGAGTCACCGACTCGCACTGAAGTGCATGCGCGTCAACGCAGCCTGCGAGACGCGCTGGGAAGTTCCCAGCGGTTGTCGCCACAGCGGCCGCGTCGGTCTTGCCAGACTATATGGTCGCTTTGCGCGCGAGCCTGCATGTGCCACCACGACCACAGCAATGTGCCAGCCAATGCCAAGCACTCATCGCGATCACCGCCGCATGAGTTTTGTAAACCTCGTTGCGGGTTGGAGGAGGGGATGATTGCGTGAGCAGTGGAGTTGGCAATTCGCTGCGAACAAGCATCAACTGTACCATATCGACTGCACCACGTAGATTTTCCTTTCTAAACAAAGAATAGACTCTACCTCCCCCCCCCCACCCAGGACTTATCGGTTCCCCCTGGAAAAATAGAATTTCACCCACACACACATATATATATATATATACATATACAGATACATATATATATATATATATATATATATATATATACATACATATATATATACTGCACACTAGTCCATCCTAAATATGAAATCATACCATCCCAGGCAGGCCCGTTTCCCCACCCTGAGGGTCCCTTCGTAAAAAAAAAAAAACACACTATGCGGTGACATTTGTTGCTCTAACATAGCACTTGTTCGCGAATCCCTTGCAACAAATGGGTCGAAATGCACACGCGCGCGTCGTCGCGCGCGCATGCCGAAATCCTTCAAAAACCTTCGGTGCCGGAAGGATTTCGCAATCGAGTTTCCAAAAAAAAAACATACAAAAACACAAGGTTTCGCAACACTGATTTGCAAAAAAAGCTTCCGCGCAAGCTCCTGCGAAATCTTAAGAAAACCATAGGTCTCTCAAGATTTGAAAGAGCGTGTTCTACCGCTGCTGGCGGAAAACCGGGGGGGGGTCACTACCGGTTCGAACCCCTCCCCCCCCCCCCCTTTCCGGAAAACCGGGGGGGGTCACTACCGGTTCGAACCCCTCCCCCCCCCCCCCAGCTCATCATGAAAAGGGGGGGGGTCACTACCGGTTCGAACCCCCCCCCCCCTCGAAAACCGAGTGGGGGTGCGGACAGTGGTGGGGACGGTGTTGGTGGGGACAGTGGTGAGGGGACAGCGGGACAGTGGTGGGGACAGTGGGGGGACAGTGGGACAGTGGTGGGGACGGCAGTGGCGGGGACAGTGGTGGGGACAATGGTGGGAACACGGGGGACAGTGGACAGTGGCGGGAACGGTGGTGGTGGGGACAGTGGTGTGGGGACAGTGGGAATGAGGTGGAAACACTGGGGCAGTGGAGGGTACAATGGTGGTGGGGACACTGGTAAAGGCGGTGGCGAGGACGGCGGTGGGACAATGGGACAGAGGTGCAGTGGGGACAGTGGTGGGGACAGTGGGGACAGTGGTGGAAACAGTGGGACAGCTCAGTGGGACAGCGGAGGAGTCAGTGGGACAGTGGGGACAGTGGGGATAGGCAGTGGTTGGGTCCGTGGAGACAGTGGGGAGAGTGGAACCGTGGTGGGAACAGTTGTGGGAACAGTGGGGACAGTGCGACAGTGGTGGGGGCATTGGTGGGGACAATAGGGACGGTGGTGGAACCAGTGGGGACAGTGGTGGTGAGGACAGTGGTGCTGGGAACAACAGTGGGGGATGTGATGCGAGCGGTGGTAGGGACCGGGAGTCGTTTGCTGGCGGTGCGTGGGGGGGGGGTCGAACCGGTAGTGACCCCCCTCCGGTTTTCGAGGGGGGGGGGGGTTCCAACCGGTAGTGACCCCCCCCGGTTTTCCGGATCCGGAGGGGGGGGGGGGGGGTGGGGGTTCGAACCGGTAGTGACCCCCCCCGGTTTTCGAGGGGGAGGGGGGGGGGGGGGGGAGGGGTTAGGGGAGGGGGAGGGTTTTGCCGGGAAGGAGGGGGGGGGGGGGGGGTCCGGCGGGGGGGGGGGGATTTTCGGAGGGGGGGGGGGGGGGGGAGACCCCTGGGTTCCGGAGGAAAAGGTTGGCAATTTTCCATAGTAAAGCGGCGGTGGATCACGCTCTCTCCAAGATTTTTACAAAATGCTACCAAACGGGCTTCGCGCGCGCGCATGTCGAAATCTGTCGAACGCCCTTGCGCGTGTGCCGTCGCGAGAATCCTCTGCAAAAGATGGGACGAAGTGCAGACGTGCGCGTCGTCGCGCGCGTACGCCGAAATCCTTCAAAACCCATCGGTTTCGGAAGGATTTCGAAATCGCGCGTCCAAAAAACCTACAAAAACCCAAGGTTTCGCAACACGGATTTTCAACAAAAGCGTGCGCGCGCGCTCTTCGTCGTCGTCGTCGTCGTCGCCGTCCTCCCTCCTCCCGCGTCGTTGTCGTCGTCGTCGTCGCCTACGTCGTCCTCTGTCTTTCCTCGTGTTCGTCGTCGTCGTCCTCTTTGGCGTCGTGGTCGTTTCCGTCGTCGTTGTCGCCGTGGTCGTCCTTCCTCCTCCTCCCTCGTCGTCGTCGTCGTCCGTCGTCGGCGTCTCGTCGTCGTCCCTCCTATTTCGTCGCGTCGTCGTCGTCGTCGTTGTCGTCGTCGTCGTCCCTCCTCCCTCGTCGTTGTCGTCGTCGGCGTCGCCGTCCTTCCTCCTTCTTCGTCGTTCGCGTCGTCGCCGTCCTCCCTCCTCCCTCGTCGTTGTCGTCGTTGTCGCCGTTGTCGCCGTCGTCGTCCTCCCTCCTCCCTCGTCGTCGTCTTCGTTTGCGACGTCGTCGTCGTCGTCTTCGTCGTCGTCGTCGGCGTCGGCGTCATCGTCGTCTTCGTCTTCGTTGTCGTCGTCGTCGTCGGTGTCGTCGTCGTCGTCGTTGTCGGCGTCGTCGAAGTCGTTGGAGACGTCGTCGGTGTCGTCGAAGTCGTTGTCGGCGGCGTCGTCATCGTCGTCGTCGTTGTCATCGTCGTCGTCGTCGGCGTCGGCATCGGTGTCGTCGGTGTCGTCGTCGTCGTTGTTGTCGGCGTCGTCGAAGTCGTTGGAGACGTCGCCGGTGTCGTCGTAGCCGTTGTCGGCGGCGTCGTCGTCGTCGTCGTTGTCGCTGTCGTCGTCGGCGTCGCTGTCGTTGGCAAGTGCCATTTGGTACCCACCGTCACGGTCTTAAGAGATTTTGCGAACCAAGTTGCGGGTGGGTGGGTGGGATGTTTGCGCGAGCAGTGGAGTGGTCAAGCGCGGTGCAGGGTAGTCAATTGCACAGCATAGACTGCACCACACATATTGCACCACGCCGATAGCACCACAAATATTGCGCACCACATCGTTCGCATCACATATATTGTACCGCAAATATTGCTCCACAGGATTGCGCAGCCTATATGATACAACATAGAATGAACAACATATGTTGCACAACATAAGCTGCACGACGTAGATGGTACCACACAGATTGCTCCATAAAGACTGCATTACACAAATTGCTAGAACACGCGCCGAACGGTCCCACGCTGGCTAACATGTTCATGCCGCTTTCGCTTCCTCGGTCCTCGTCGAACATGACGTCCAGCCCGAACAGGTCGAAGCAGGCGAAGCCCACCCGCGACGGGTCCGTTTCGCCCGGGTCCCCGAACGACTCCGCCAGCGCCTCCCCGAAGATGGCCCGGATGGCCGCGGCCATGCGCCCGCGCACCTCGGCGGAACCCGGCCGCTGCACGATGGCGGCCTTCGCCTGGCGCGCCGCGGACTTGGCGTCGAGGGACGCCCACAGCGTGGCGTGCGAAAAGGCCTCGACGTTGCTGCCGATCGCCGAGAAGAGCCGCCGGCCGAGGCGGGCCGCCGGGCGGGGCGCCGCGGCGAGCGCCAGAGAACCAGGCGGCGCCGCGGAGCGGGGGAGGGGGCTTTCGGCACTCAATGGGCTCTGCGGCCCCTTTGCCCCCCCCTTCTCCCCTGCCCTGCCCCTGCCCCCGTCCCCCCCCCTCCCCCAGCGCTCCTATGCACCCGAGAGGAGGAGGAGAAGGAGGAGTAGGAGGAGGAGGAGGAGGAGGAGAAGAAGAAGAAGAGGAGGGAAAGGAGGAGGAGGAGGAGGAGGAGGAGGAGGAGGGCAGGAGGAGGAGGAGGAGGGGAGGAGGAGGAGAAGGAGGAGAAAGAGGAGGAGGAGAAGAAGAGGAGAAGAAGAGGAGGGAAAGGAAGAGGAGGAGGAGGAGGTAGGGAAACTGATGGGAGGCGACGTCGCCCAGGCCTGTTCGTCGCCAGCCCAAGTCCGCCCCCCAGCCCCCCACCACCCCGCCCGCGCACTCCCACTTCCCACCGATTTGGCGGACTTGCGCGGCGGCGCGGGATGGATATCGCGGCCCTCCGACAGGTTGTCGTGCTGATACGGGTCCCTGCTCCGGAAGACCAGGCCTTCGTCGAAGACGAGGACGCTCGGCGAGGGAGCCCACCTGACTGGGCGGCCACTGCCGCGCGCCCGCAGGTCCCAGCGCCCCCCCCCTCCCACCCCGCCCCACCCCGCCCCACCTCCCTCTGTGAGGGGCGAGGGAGGAGTAGCATGGGACGAACAAGGGCGTACGAATACAATGCGTTGATGTTGGAGGCGCACGTTCGGCACGAGCATCTAGTTCACACATGGAGTAGTATATATTTTGCCGGGCGGTCTTGCCAGAAAACGCCGCTACGGAGATTGTACTGCCAAGAGCCCTGAGCGTGCGCGTCGCCCTTGCGTGGCCGACGTGCACATCGAATAAAGTATAAGTGTGTCCGTGTGGTGCCGGGAGCAAGACGGGGGGAGGGTGAGGGCAGGAGTGCGGCAAGCTTGTCTCGTTACGACTTCGGCACTGACCTCTGACACCGCGTGGATCGCTCAACTTTGAACGATCGGCGCTCTCCGACAACGCTGATTGTCCGAGGCCGGCCGATTCGGGGCCGCTGGCGGCGTTCAACCGTGAACGCCCGCGCTGCGGTCGCAGCCGCGTCTATCAGAGCAGGGCGAATTGAGAAAACGGCAGGTCGAAATCGGTCCTGGGACCCTTCCCGGGGTCCACGCGTACCAAGTTTCCGAGATGCGTCCAAACGTGGCGACGAAGGGGCCTTGCGAAGGTTGTCTCAACTCGCCCTTCTCTAAATTTACACGACACGACCCTACCGTAGCAAGAGGAGGGGGGGGGAAGGCAGGAAAATAAGGAAAGCTCGGGTGTTGCTAGAAGCGCCCCTGGCCCAAAGTGCCCCCAGGATTTCCAAGGAGGCCCCCACGGATTCCAGAGCACCCCTCACGAGGCTCATAGGGTCCCAGGGGCTCCAACATTGAGCGACAAGCTGGGGGCACCTTGGGCCAGGGGCACATTTAGCAGCTCCCGAACAGGGGTATATGGGGTCTGGGATCTGGCTAACGTGGCGTGGGCCCGTGCTCGCCGCGTCACGAGCACGTAGACGCGCAGGTGGAACTTGCTGCCGCCGAAGCCCATATACGGCCGCTCCAGGTACTCCTGTAAGACGAAGCCAAAACGAGGATACAAATTGGTGAAGATAGATCGAAGATCTCTGAAATCTGGCGGCTCTGAAAGATGTATCAAACCTCGAGGCGCCCGGAACGTTCTGAGAGCGTCCCGGAATGTTTTGGAACGGATGCTTCCTCGTCCCAACCCCCGACTCTGTGAGGATGGGGAGCACAAGTGAGAGTAAGAGAAAGAGAGAGAGAGAGAGAGAGAGAAAGAAAACAAAACAAACACCAACAAAAAGAGCGAGTGCTGTTGTGGGGTGCGCGCGCGCATCCCGCCCCACCACAACGTGGTTGTGTGCGCGGGGGATGCTCCTGTGCGCGATACGCGATGCCCGTGACCCAGCCCCCCTACCCTGCTTCGGCTACGCCCCAGGGACAACTTTCTTCCTCGCTTACGACCCCCTACGGGAACCCCTTTACAACGGGGAGCGCGTTGGCCTAACATCCGCGGGGGGTCGCTCCAGAATATCGCAGCGTTGTTTCGCGATTGACATGTCGAGCGAAGACTTGTTGGTCGTGCGTCAAGCGCGCGTCGCGCCATGCGTGGTGGCACAATAACGCAACTTCGGCGAAGAAGTTGTGCGCGCTCGGGTCGGACCGCGGCGCGATGCAGACTGCTGGTGCGCTGCGTCGGCGACTGGCTCAGCGATCAAGCTGTGGGCTCGGGATTCGGCGCCAAGCAACATCCCTGCTTCCCTGGATAGCGCTCGCACGCGCGCACCGCAATGTATCGCGGTGGGGGCGGCGCGCGGCGCCAATCCGATTCCCCACGCGACTGGCCAACGCTTTTGCGCGCGCGTGATGACTCGTCGTGCGGGTTGGCAGCATTCTCAGCAAACGATGTTCGCGCGGTGGTCAGCGCGTAGCGCCAAGTGATGTGGCGCCTCGCTGCGCGGCTGGCAACGGGCGGGTGCGAGCGGGCGCCTCCGCGGATGCGTCGCAGCGGCATCGCAAATCCAAGCTTATCGTTCCGCCACCACTACGCGCGGGGCGGGGGCGAGGGGGCAACATGAGAAGACGTCAGCTGCAGCCGCGTTGTTCGCGCTGGAGTCGGCACGCGGCGCCAAGCAGTTTCGCTGCTCGCATGGTTAGCGCTCGCGCTCGCAGGGGAAGACCCGCGCGTCCCACGGTTGGAACACAATGCATTTCGCTGGGGTCGGCGCGTGGCGCTAATCCAACATCTCGCGCTGAGGTCGGCGCGCGGCGTCAATCAGATCCCTCGTGCGACTGAAAAGCGCTCGAACGCGCAGGAAGACTGGACGCGCAGCATCGGCAGCGTTCTCGGCAAGCGGCGTTTGCAAGGTTATCGGCTTGTGGCGCCAGGCAAAACGGCGCCGCGCATACAGTAAACGCGCGAGGTGCGCGCGGGCGCCCATGCGGACGCGGCGTCCCACATGCAGACGCCTCCCTACCCCACCACCACGCGGGAGGGGGGGCTGCATGAGAAGACGTCAGCTGCAGTCGCTACGCGAAAGCCACGCGGGATGGGAAGGGGGTGCATCAGAAAGCGTCAGCAGAAAGCGCCGCGTGCGAGCGGGCATGCACTGAAGAGCCCTCGGGACGCGCCAGACAGTGCCGCGTGCTAGCGGGCGCGCACGAGGGAGCCCTCGAGGCGCACTAGAGTGCGCCGCGTGCTAGCGGGCACGCGCGCGAGATCGCCGTCGGGGCGCCAGAAGGCGCCGCGTGCGAGCGGGCACGCACAGAATCGCCCTCAGGGCGCGCCCATAAGCGCTGCGTGCGAGCGGGCACCCACGCAAGCGCCCTCGGGGCGTGCTAGCGAGATCTTGCCTCAAATCGCCGAAATCGTCCGGGAGCTCCACGCATTGATTTTGAGCGCGTTGACCCTGGGAGCCTCACCTTGAAGCTCTCGCCGTGCCGGCACGCTCCAAAGAGGGAGTCGTTCCCTCTGGGAGCAAAGGGCAGCCCGCCTTCCACACCGCCTGGAGGCGGGCGAGCTAACTCTCGCCCGCCGACATAATGAATCTGGCACTCCGCTGAACGTTCCGACCCTCAGTCGCCCGCTTCCTGACGATTGCCAGGACCAGCGCTCGCTCCGGAGAGATCGCACCAGTTCGGGCGGAATGTCCGTCCGGGCGCGCGTGCTACTCGCTCCCGCCGCGCCCAGCTCTTGTGGCGGGAGGTGCCACTTGTGAGAAGCAGGGGTGGGGACACCACCCGACAGCCCTCTGGCGCGGTCTGCGAAGGCAACGACTGGAAACAAAAACGGGCCGAGAGAGAAAGCACGAGAGCGAGAGGGAGAGAGAGAGAGAGAGGACGACGGCTGGCGCGCCCTCAGGAGGCCTGAGCTCCACCAAAGGAGCGGGGACGACAAAGCCGCGAGCGCCAACGACGACGGCGACGACGACAAGATCGGCGGCGGCACCAACGGCGACGACGCCGCCGACGACGCTAACGACGACGGCGAAGACTGTGGCGACGACGGTGGTGACGACGACGACGACGCCGACGATGCCGACGCGGAGCTCCTGCGCGACCGTCCAGGGCGACTTGGCCTCCCGGCCGCTCGCCCAGCGCTCGGAGGCAGCGAGCAGCTCCCGGCCGCTGAGCAGCGCCACTCCTGCAGCGGGGACGCTGGCCACCAGACCGAAAACAGAAGCCAGTTCGTCGGAGGCCTGGGGGGGGGGGGCAGCCAACCCATGGTCGAGCCCGTCTTCGGGCCCGAGAGGAAGAGTGGGAGGATAATGACGAGGAGGAATACGAGGAGGATGAGGAGGAAAGAGGCTTGAGGATCGAGCAGGTGGTCAGAACAGCGCTGGCCATCCAAGGGCAATCGACCCATGGACGGGCCCAGGCCCAGGAGGAGGAGGAGGAGAAGGATCAGCAGCAGAAGGAGGGGTCGAGTCGAATCGACCTCGTTGACTTCGGATTGGACCCCGCAGAATTCGGAGGATGATGCGGAAGAGGAGTAAGGAATTCCGAAGATCCAGGACCGATTTTTTTGATGCGTGTTTGGCCTTGTCTTTGCCTCCGAAATCTCCGCGAAGACTTGCGGGGTGCCTCCAAGGAACGTGAAGACCTCCGAATGCCATCGAGACGGCCAAGGTCTCGTCGTTTAGGGCCTCCATGGGGTCCAGTTTCGAGCCCTGTACCGTCAGAAGACATCTCGGGGACGGGACGCAACACCATTCCTGGGGAAGTGGTCCAAAGGTCTGGGGGCATATGTCTCGAAACAGAACGCCAAACATGACAGGGGGAGGAAGAGAATGAGGAGGACGAGGAAGAGGAGGAGGAATAGGAGGACCCTCAACCTCCAGCACCATGAAACATTCTGACGGGCACTATGGGCCCCGATCCTGTACTGCAGTGATCGCTGTGACTTGCAACAGTTTCAAGACGGTTGCACGGAATTTGCAAGACAGCTGCAAGTGGGTTGCAAGTCCGCCTAGGTGCTCCAAGTTGGGTCCGTGACTTACTCAAACTCAGGCAGCCCAGCGGGCTTGCAACCCACCTGAAGGTGCCTTGCAAATGGGTTGCAACCACCTTACAGTCGTTGCAGCTGTTGCAAGTCGAACCGACGACCCCAGTACCGAGGGGCTCCTCGCGGGCAGATCCAGCTCGAGAACTGCAGCAGAACGAGTGCTCCGATGGCTCTGGTCGATATTCCTTCGCGACGCTGTGTAAAATGGAATCTCAGGATTGGAAGAGGGTGATGCTTACATGGCCTCAGGGAGGGACCTAGCTACCATAGCTGGAAGCAGCTCGAATCTACCCCAGCAGAAAACCCCTACTGGCAGCAAAGGTGAGGAAGCGGGCCGAGGAGCAGGAGGGCGACCATGTGCACCATAATGCAACAATGCTGCAGAAAGGACCGTGGCCGTCCGGGCCAGGCATGCAGAAAGCAATACACAGGCGAGAACGCGACTCCGAAACAAGTTGGGGCGAGGTCTTAAGCGAAACGGCTGCCACACCGGGCGGTCTGGGGCTCCCCGCCCCTCCCCTCTGTGGGACTCGTCCTCCAGGAACACCCATACATCAGAGCCCTCCCGCCAGGAGGCCACCACGGAAGAGCAGTCAGGACAGTGTCTGGAAGGGGAGTCCGAAGGTTTGGCCAGTCACATACCTCATCGCGTCGTGGAAACGGATCGCTGCCGGCACTTCTTCACCTCTTGTGGGACTCCCTGGGGCAGTTCTCAGGCCCCGGGGCCCGCAAGCGCAAGCAGCGCGCGCCGAACAAATACCCCAACGGTGGGACCCCGCATGAGGATCTTCCAAGCTGCAGCCAGCCCGTACAATAAGGACACACGATAAGGATGCAAGAGCCTTGAAAGGCCATGTCGGCACTTTGCGAGCGGGGCGCGGCCAGCGAAAGCGGCCAGAGATGGGCCGAATAGAGAAGAATGCAAGGGTGACCTTGGAAAGTTGCTCATCCTTGCAATGCGGGTTGACTGCAATCTGGAAGAACTCTTCGTCGTCTTGTGACTACGGAGGCTCTCTTCCTGTCTGCTATCTGCTGGTCCATGCCAACGCTTGCAAGCTAGACTGAGGATGGCCGCCTCGGACTACAAAGGACGCTCGACAAAGGAACGACGCTCCAGCTCGAAACTTTCAGAAGATTCAGACTCCCGGGCGTCATCGAAGCTGCGCTTCTACATGGTGTTCCGATGGCCGCCTGGGATGAATAACATGAAGCGGGGGCTCCATAGGAAGGGGCTCCCACTCGAGACTTCCTCGCGAATCACTCGCAGACGGGTGAGCGCCCGCGACACCCTCCCATCTTGCTCAGGGAAGAAGTTTCCTGCTCGGGACTTCATCGGCATTCAGGCTCCCAGCATCCCGATGGCCGCCTCGGGTTATGAGGTGGGGATCCCAAAGGGAAGGGGGCTCCCGCTCGAGACCTTCTCGCAGTGCACTCACAGACGAGGCTCCCGCCCGAGATACCCTCTCAGCTGCTCAGGAAAACGAAGCCCCCGCTCGGAACGTCCCCGGGATTCAGGCTCCCGTGTGTCACCAAACCTGTTTTCACACTGTGTTCTGGTGGCCGCCTCGGAGTCGAGCATGGAGGTGGGGACCCCATGGGGAAGGCCTCCCGCTCGAGACTTCCTCACGACTCACCTGCAAGATGAGCGAGCGCCCGAGACATCCTCCCAGTTTGCTCAGGAAAGAAGCTCCCGCTCGAGACGTCCTCGGGATTCGGGCTCCCAGGTGTCACCAAACATGTTCTACATGGTATGCCGATGGCCGCCTCGCACTCGAGCATGGAGGTGGGGACACCATGGGGAAGGACTCACGCTCGAGACTTCCTCGCGACTCGCTCGCAAACGAGAGAGCGCCCAGGGCATCTTCTCAGTTTGCTCAGGGAAAAAACTTCCTGCTCGAGACTTCATCGGGATTCAGGTCTCCAGGCGTCAGCCAGCCTGTGTATTCAAATGGTATGCCAATGGCCGCCTCGGACTCGAGCCTGGAGGTGGGGACCACATAGGAAGGGGCACACTAGTGAGACCTCGAGACATCCTCTCAGTTTGCTCAGGGACGGGGATACTTCTCGAGACCTTGCAGGAATACATGTCTCCAGGAGTCAGCAAACGTGTGAATACCCACTGTATTCCGATGGCCGCCTGGGGTTCGGGCAGGGAGGCGGTGACCCCATAGGGAAGGCCTCCCGCTCGAGACTTCCTCACGGGTCCCTCGCAAACGAGTGAACGCCCGAGACACCCTCTCATCTTGCTCAGGAACGAGGCTCCCGCTCGAGACGTCATCGGGATTCGAGCATGGAGGTTGGGTTCCCATAGGAAAGGGCGCCCGCTCGAGACGTCCTCGCGATTCACTCACAGACGAGGCTCCCGCTCGAGACTTACTGAACATGAGCGTGCGAGTGTGTGGGCGAGTGCGTGCGATGATGATGATGATGATGATGATGATGATGATGATGATGATGATGATGATGATGATGATGATGATGATGATGATGATGATGGTGGTGATGGTGGTGATGATGATGATGAAGCTGAGGAGGAGGATGTTGGTGATGGTGAATATGATGATGGTGATGATGATGATGATGAGGATGATGATTATGATGGTGGTGATGCTGCTGATGATGATACTGGTTATGCTGATGGTGGTGCTGCTGATGATGACGATGGTGATGATGATGACGATGCTGATGATGATAATGATGAGGAGGAGGAGGATGGTGGCGGCGGTAATTAAAGGGTGATGAGGAAAGGAGAGGGATGAGGTGTTCTTTCCTGCACGGGGTGTCCCGAAAAAAAACAAGACCCTTACTTAAGATGTGGGGAGCATCCCATAGGGATAGGAGGCTCCGAATTGCATTCGCATCCATTTTTCGAAACCAACTTCTTACACTGCCCACGGGTACGTAGTAGTGCATATGGCCATCTGTTGGTTAGCCTTGGGGCGAACAAAGACGGCAACCTCTTATTTTTGAGTCCGCAAGACAGTTGCCTGTCTGGGAGGTGGATGGGGTCAAGAACCCATGGCGAAGAATCATGTGCCCCCCCGTACCCGGACGTCGTGATTTGCCTGGACCCCCTTCCCAGGACCAGCAGTTCATCCTGAAACGTGTTTTAGGGCCCCTGGGCACTAGGCAGAAGGGCGCCAAATACCGCACGTCGAACCACGCAAGGGGGTCTGAAAAGACCAGTGCACGTCGAACTGGCTTACCTGGGAAGACGCGCGGGCCCAGGACAACACACACTCGGACACCGCCCACACAATTGTTGCTTGACGACGTGTGGGCCCTGGAGCACCCGTCCCCAGGTCGGACGGGGCCTCCGCCGCGAAACATTCTCACTGCGGGTCCCAGGTAAGACGAAGGCAGGACGAATACACATTCGGATGATGACGCACTCGAATTCGGATGAAAACTGGGAGGCCTGGAGGGCGTATCTGGCATCGGCGTCGCGGCCATTTCAGGACGTTATGGAACGCCCTGAGAGCGTAACAGAGCGTTCTGAAACATCCTAAATTTGCCTGGCCCAGGCCGGAAAACGGCCCCCAAGCGCCAGACAACCAGCTTGTCTGGAAGAGTTCTTTACACTTTTTCGAACGTCCAATTGGGGGTGCTGGGCCCCAGAAATTGGCGGCCCATCGTTGCCCCCCATTCGTGCAACTGTGCAAGGCTGATCGGGGTCCTCTGCCGCAAGGGTGTCCCATGCCTTTTTGGGGTCTCGCGACGCCCATGAGATTGTCTAGGTCTGCGCTCGCGCGCGGACACAAACGTCGACGCCCGCGGCGTTCGGGGCGGCGAGGGCGGGGAGCCTGAGGGTTGGGGGCCCCTCCATGCCCGCAGCCCTGGCAGGCATCTGCGCGCCCCTCCCGGACGCCGACCACGGCACCTTCCGGACACTGCGTCGAGACCAGCAAGAAATGCTTCGGCCAGCCCAGACACCCGACGTGGTGACTCTGTCCGCAGCGTGGGCCCCCAGAGTCCTAGACCCTTTCCCAGGATCTCTTACGGTGGAGGCCAGTCCACGAGAATTCTTACACAACAAACCCAACCCTGAGGCCCCAGGAGGTCCATCGATTTTGGTGTGAGAACGTCGCGTCGTCCATGGCAGAACCATCGAAACCCGGGAAACCCAGAGCACCCTGGAGGCAAGCAGGGTGTTTCTTGGCATGGGCCCCCACTGTACTCATCCCGACCTAGGTTTCACGACACCTGCCAGTGGCCGATGGAGCCCGAAAACTACTGAACATTTCTGGTCGTGGTCTCTTCACGACGCGACCGCTCTTTGGGCTTTGGGGGCAAACGTCGACACCCAGACCCATCCCGGGCTGCGTCCGGGCGAGAACTCCGGAGGACAATCCAACCGCGACAACGGGAAGCCTCCAGGAGCCTCCAAGAGAGAGCGCCAGAGAGAGAGAGAGAAAACAACAGCAACAACAAAACAACACCACCACCACCACAACCACCACCAACAACAACATACAACGCTCATGGACTTCGAACCTCGACGCGGGCAAGAATTATATCCACCTCCGCAGCGTTATGGATAAGACCCTGTCTTCTCCAGAGGCCAGAGGATGCATCCAGATCCATGGCTCCCCGAACTTCGAATACTATGAAGGGAGCCCGAACATCCGAGACGCCAACGTATGGACGTGCACACTGCCCGCGCTCGAGCTTCGAACCTCGAGAGATTCGATCCTGGAGCCTGGGCCCGCGCCCGCGTGGACGACGGGCTCGGGCCAGGGCTGCGGGCCGCGCGCCCCCCCGGGGCTCCTTGCGACAGGCCCGCGTCGCACCTCTTGACCACCCAGGGCCGCTCGTCGAGACGCCGGTCGAGGGGACCTTCTCTTGAGCAAGGGTCGACCATCCCGGCAATCCTGTAGGCCTAACACGACATGTTCTTCGAACCCCAAAATGACCCAAAAAACAAGAACGACGTTCTTAGAGCAGAATCCTGATGTGTTAAAACATGACGGTCTCAGCCGGACATGTTCGAAGAAAACTTCGTGCAGACCACAAGGAGTTCCTAGAAGCTTCTTTGGTGGGCCTGTAGGCAAGCCAGGACGTTTCGCCACTGCTGGACTCTGGGGCAGGGTGTGACACTGGTCCTGAGCTCAGGGTCGGCCCGGCCAGGATCGGCGCGGGTGGGCACGGGTCTCCCTGAGATCCCACGCGACGCGAAACAATTGAGCATCGTTCAACCGATCCCCATCCCCACCAGCGTGGGCCAACAGGAGGGGGAACAACAAACGAATGCCGATACCGCCACGCACTCCCTGGACCTCTCCAGGGGGCAGTCTGACCACAGTTTCGAGGAGAGTCCAGCCGTGGCGACGAGAGCTCTCCTCTGAGGCACGCCGCTGGTGTGGAGATGCCTTCTGCCTTCTGCGGACGGGCAGCGCTGTCAAAACCAGCCTCGACCTTATCCCTACCCCTAAGATCGGCAAGCCACAAGGCGATGACACTCGGGATGCGCCCTCGAAAACTGAGGGAATCCTTGAGATCGGCATCGAGATGAGGAGATGCTAATCCTAGGGATAGGATTTTGGTCCATTCTGGTAATGTCAGTCGCCGTCACTGCTGGCGCGTGGTCCACTCGACGGGCGTCTCGGGCTCGGGGGCGGACTGGACCTCCGCCAGCCACTGCGCGGCCTGCGCAGGGTGGTTGAGCACGTGCGCGCGCAAGACTGGGAGCTGCGCGGCCTGGGCTGGGTCCCGCGCCAGGGCGGCCGCAACCCTCCTGATTCGGCAACTCCAACGGGGTATGGCTTGCAAAGCGTGCGGTTTGCAACCAGCACCCTGGGGGCACCCTGTGGGGCGGGCGAGGACCTTGACAGAGCTCTCCGGCGCACCCCGAGGAGGCCGCGACGAGGACAGTGTCGTGCTCCCCAGGCCCCAACGGTGCCGATCGCAAACCATACTCCGACGTATCCATATCTTTTGTAGTCGCCGACTGATGAGCAAAGGCGCTCTCACACCGCCAGCATGACTGGCCAGGGATATCATGGGCCCTGGCATTCAGAGGAGAAACATGGACCAGCACCACCGAGCACCCATCGGACGAGGACAGACCCCTGGGCGGTGGCACGCCTGAGCGCCGCCACGTGCTGGGTGACGATCGGGCGTGTCACCGCCCAGAGGTCGGCGCCCTGTCGACGTGTTCTCGGTCGCGGTGGCCCATGTCTCTTCAGAGGCATGGTGCACGCGCCCACCTTGCCGAAGCCACCTGGGGTCTGCAGGCCGTCCTGGGGCCCAGGATGGTCCTGGCAGCGGTGGCAGAGTGCGGGTGCCCTCTGCGGGTCCTGACGTGCCCGGCGAAATGGCACTTCTGGCCCGCGGCCTTGAAGTACCGGCAGTGGTTCACCAGCCTGCCCGCCCTCGGGGGCAGCTCCCGCCGGAGGAGCTCACCGACCTGGAAAGTCTGGGTCCAGAGCAGGTCCCAGTCATCGCCCCCGACTGGGCCATCGAAATGCTCACCGAACGCCTCGACAACGTACTGCCCTCCGTAGATCGACGGCGCGCCGGGTCTGTACGGTGCGACGCGCCAGCTCGGCCGCTTGCGCTGTTCGGAATCTGGACCGTTGCACTCTTCAGCAGGCGGGCCATCTGGGAACTCACCCGGCGCGCTGTCCGAAGAGCATGTCGCCAGGAAGAGGGACAAGAGCAGAGCCAGCATGGAACGCACTCCATGCATGGCAGAACCAGACGAAGACGCTTCGCCTCGAGGAAAAACTATACGGAGGAAGAGAGGGAGTGTTTCCGAGGCCCAGCTCGAGCTTCATGGAATTCAATCGAAGATCCAGGAAGCACAGACATGTTTACCACGGGCGGCCCCCAGCTGCCTCATACAAACCGCTGTGCATTGCAGCCCTCGCATTTACACGGTGGAGCCAGCCACGTGGCCTTATTCATGCTGGCAGTTTCGGTATGAAGTATCAACAAACTGTCAACGTAGCGCTCAGCTGATATCCCGGCCCGCACATGCGACGGAACACACGATTCTGATGAATTCCGCGCAAGTGCCGCTTAACAGCCGAACTTGCCTCTTCACAACTAACAGAGCGATGTATTGTGATATCGTTGCATCGTGAGGCATAGTCACAACCCCGGCCATGGCCGTGTTTTACGACCGAGCTACGTTTAGCTCGGCTACGTCGAGGTGAGTGGATCGAACAGAAACACTAATAATGCACGGCGAACGTAACTGTGTGATCACATAAAACTTCAGCCTGTAAAGATCAGCCTTAAGTGGATATAGCGGGAAGAACATTCAGACTTACCACCTCTGGGCATGCAGCCAAAATCCACAAAGACTCACATGGGAATGCGGCCCGACACGAAAGCGAACCATATGGAATCAATGCCGGACGGAGGCCGGGGCCGTCGTGCCAGGGCCCCCTGTCGTCGTGGCCTTGTTCGTGGCGACGAGGCCCTTCCCGAGCTCCCGGCTCGGATACGGGCAAGAGCGACCCTGGGCAGGAGCGACCTTTGGTGCGCGGCCTGCCGATCGCTGCGTGCGAGGCGACAGCAACGGCCTGCGTGATTGGGATCGGCTCACCCGGGCAGCGCACCAGAGGCCACCCTGGCGAAGGGCGTCTCGTGCGTGTCGCCGATCGACCCTTTTCCATGGGGCTGCCAAGATTCGAGAGCCTATGCCAATGAGGAAGCGTTCTTCCCAACCATCCTGTGGTGTTGGGTCCTCGTTTTGAAGAGACGGTCCCCGCGTTCTCCTCCTCTCGTGCCCCCCCCCTCCTCCCTACCGTCCGAATGCGTCCCGCACACCCAGTACAGCGTTTCGTGGCCCCATAGGGAGCCCCACCGAAGGTCCCAATGCTTCCGTCCGCATGCGTCCCGCACACCCAGTACATGGCCCCCTAGGGAGCTCCTCCGAAGGTCCCAATGCTACCGTCCGCATGCGTCCCGCACACCCAGTACAGCATTTCGTGGCCCTCCTCCCCCTCCCCCCCGCGGTCCACCCACCCAGTACAGCGTTTCGTGCCCCACCGAAGGTCCCAGTGCTACCGTCCGCATGCGTCCCGCACACCCAGTACATCGTTTCGTGGGCCCGTAGGGAGCCCCACCGAAGGTCCCAGTGCTACCGTCCGCATGCGCCCCGCACACCCGGTACAGCGCTTCGTGGCCCCATAGGGAGCTCCACCGAAGGTCCCAGTGCTACCGTCCGCATGCGTCCCGCACACCCAGTACAGCGTTTCGTGGCCCTCCTCCCCCTCCTCCCTGCGTTTCACCCACCCAGTACAACGTTTCGTGGCCCCATAGGGAGCCCCACCGAAGGTCCCAAGGCTACCGTCCGCATGCGTCCCGCACACCCAGTACATCGTTTCGTGGCTCCACACGGAGCCCCACCGAAGGTCCCAGCGCTACCGTCCGCATGCATCCCGCACACCCAGTACAGCGTTTCGTGGCCCTCCTCCCCCTCCTCCCTGCGTTTCACCCACCCAGTACAGCGTTTAGCTCCACCGAAGGCCCCAATGCCCCCGTCCGCATGCGCCCCGGAAGCCCAATTTGACATTTTCACTCACCCAGTACAGCGTTTCGTGGCCCCAGAGAGGGCTCCACCCAAGGCCCCAGTGCCACCGTCCGCATGCGTCCGGGAAATGTAATTTGGCATTTTCACCCGCGCAGTGCAGCGTTTCGTGGCCCCATAAGGGGGCTCCACCGAAGCCCCCAGTGGGACCGTCCGCATGCGTCCCAGTAGCCCAATTTGGCATTTTCACTCACTCAGTAGAGCGCTTCGTGACCCCATAGGGAGCTCCACCGAAGCCCTCAGTGGGACCGTCCGCATGCGTCCCGGAAACCCAATTCGGCACACCACCCACACAGTACAGCGTTCCCCCCCGCCCAGTGCAGCGCTTCGTGGCCCCATAGGGAGCTTCACCGAAGCAGATATTCACAATTACGGTACCCACAACTGCATATGGTTGGGACCTTCGCCAGGATGATTGATGCTCCCAGGGTGTGAGGTCCGTTGCCCTAGTAGAAGGAGGAGGGGGATGGATGGGGGGCAGGGGGGCGGTCACGTTAACGGAGGGGGGGCGGGGTTGGTGGCGGCGGCGCCCATGCGAGCTCGCATGCGCGTCATGACGACCGCCGCCACGTGCCTGCGAACGGGAGGCGCGAGGAGGGGGAGGGGACGGGGGCACGGGGAGGGAGGGCGCTCCCCCGTGCGATCGTGACCGTTCCCGGGGAGGGCAGGGGGTCGGGTAACGGACGTCGCCCCCTGCTAGAAATCAAACACCTGGCAAGGGGCCCAGACGGCAGCTACGAGTGATTACCGCAAGGCAAACGATACAAAGGATGGAACCGAATCGTGTGAAGGGTGTGCTACACTGACGAGGTAACAGCGTGCGGAATTTGCCGCTGAGGCCTTACGTGGAGCTCCCTATTGGGCCGCGAAGCGGGCGAGAGATGCGCCGAAATGGCGCGGGGTCGGCATGCGGACTTTACCGCTGGGGTCTTCTCGTAGGGCTCCCTAAAAGTGCCAAACACGCGAGGGCTGCGCCGAAATGAGGCTGTGCCGCCATGCGGGATTTGCCACAGGAGTCTTCCGTGAATCTCCTTATGGGGCCTCGAAACGCGTGAGTGGTGCGCCGAAATGGATGGTGCCGCCATGTGGACTGTGCTACTAGGGCCTTCGGTGGAGCTCCTTGCCTATGGGGCCACGAAGCGTGCGAGGGCGTCGCTATGCGGACTTTGCCACTGAGGCCTTCGGTGGAGCTCCCTATAGGGCAGCGAAAATGGGTTTCGCGGAAATCGGGCGGGGCCGCCGTGCGGTCTTTGCCACCAGGGCCTTCGGTGGAGCATCTTATGGGGCCGCGAAGCGCGTGAGGGGTGCGCCAAGATGTGACGGTGCCGCCATGCAGGCTGTGCTACCTCAAGCTTCGGTGTAGTTGCCACGAAACGTATGAAAGGTGTGCCGCCACGCGGACTTCACCGCTGTGGCCTTCGGTGGAGCTGCCCATGGGGCCGCAAAGCACGTAAGAGGTGCGCCGAAATGAAGCGATGCCGCCATGTAGGGCCTTCGATGGAGCTCTCTATGGGGCTGCGAATCACGTTAAGGGTGCGGCGCCGAAATGGGGCGGCGCCGCCATGCGGACTTTACCGCTAGGGCCCTTGGTGGAACTCCGTCTGGAACCACGACACGTGGCGCACCCCTGAAATGGGGCGTTGCCGCCATGCGGGTTTTGCCACTGGGGCCCTCGGTGGAGCCCCCTATGGGGCCACGAAGCGTGTGAGGCATGTGCCGGCATGGACATGCGGAGGGCAGAGGCAGGGTTGGGAGGAGGAAAGAGGAGGAGGACACGGGGAGCTGCGGATTCAACGCGACGATCCAGCACCACAGGATGGCTGGGAAAACGTGGGCCACGATGGGGGGCCATGATGGGCAAACGATTTCGGGGGCCCCAGGTCCCTCACCGGCTGCAGATCAGCTGTTCAGTGGAAAAACGAACTCCATCGAACGAAGCAGCCCCCGCGCCCGAGGCCTGCATCACAGAGGCTGAGGGGGATAGGGGGCATCGGCCCAGGGGGGGACGCGTCGGCCCGGAATCGGCGATACATCGCTACTTGGCCCTCGATCCCTCGATAGCGAATCCGCAAGTTCCTTGGCGGGGCGAGGGCATCGGACCCCTATCGGCGATGAGTAGGCGACTGGGGGTCGCTGCATCCCCCCGCTGAGCCTGTCCCTTGGTGGACTTCGGGTCATAACTCAAGCCTCTGGCGGCCTTCGTTTGGAGTCCCGAAACGGTGCGGTGACGGACCGTGCGGTGACCTCGAAATCCCCCAAGACCTCACCGCACGGTCCTTCACCGCACGGTTTTGGGACCCAGGAGGCCCCAGTCGCCCGAGACGTCCTCGGAGAACGACCCGAGTCCCCAAACCGTGCGGTGACCCCGAATCCCCACCGACTCACCGCACAGTGTGGTCACCACCCCGTTTGGGGGCCCCCGAGTTCGGGACGATCCGGGCACCCCCGGAACGCTCTCGGCGAGGCGCAGTTGAGGCTGGCAAGCCGCCGAGAACTAACGAAAACGCCAACAAATCCTTACTTCCTATGATGAAACACTCCCACATCCCCACCTAGCCGGCCGATAGCAACCACACCACCCTGTCAAAAAAACAAAACAAACTCAACTTGTTCCTCGCCAACAGGTCGTCGAGTTGCGAATCGTGTAGCAGGAACGGGACGGAATGAACATCGCTCGGATAACCCTAAGCGGGTGGTCGCGTCCCACCCATAAAAAAATCCGGGCGAAGGACCCAACCATGTGAAGTTGTGGGTACCGCAGTTGTGAATATCTTCTTCTGTGAAGCTCCCTGTGGGGCCACGAAGCGCTACGCTGGGCGGGGGGGAGCGCATGCGAACGGTGGCACTGGGGCCGTCGGTGAAGCTGCCTATGAGGCCACGAAGCGCTGCACTGGGTGGGTGAAAAAAAACAAATGAGGCGTTTGGGACGCACGCGGGCGGTCCCATTGGGGGCTTCGGTGGGGCTCCCTATGGGGCCACGAAGCGTTGTAAAGGGTGGGTGAAAATGCCAAATTGGGTGTGGGGGACGCATGCGGGCGGCCCCACTGGGGGCTTCGGTGGGGTCCCCTATGGGCCACGAAGCGCTGTACTGGGTCGGTGAAAATGCCGAATTGGGTGTGGGGGACGCATGCGGGCGGTTCCACTGGAGG